TCTCTCTCTCTCTCTCTGTCTGTCTCTCTCTCTCTCTCTCTCTCTTTCTCTCTGTTTGTAATGGTGATTGAAAAAAATAGAAGCAGGTGGGCGAAGAGGAACATTGGTTAATGAAAATAGACTCTTGCTTTTAGAGAATATTTCATGAGCGATTGGAGAGTGCCGCGGATAAGTCTTACTTTGGTTCTATCTATATGAGGTTTGTCCAGTCTATCGCCATGCTGTTGCCGGATTACCAAATCTCTATGATCTTGTACGTAGTCCGAATAGTGGCCTTCTTAGTGAGAGGCACGACAAGCACTATAAATAGACTGCTTTATCCGTAATTGTGGAGGTTGTGGGTGCGGTTCACGGCTAAGGCGGCTTGTATCTTAGGCCAAAAGTACTTGACTCTATGTCCTTAGTTTACTCAGCTGCCGTAATGGGAACTTGGCAATCGGAATATTTCGATATTATTAAAGCTGGGGTATGTGGCGGACCTTTGGCTTACCCACCAACGAGGCAAAGGTTGGTGGGTGGGGGTAAAAGGAGGGGGGGGGGCAACATCACCACTAGTGTAAGAGTGGTGCTGCATACTATCTCTTAACTCCAGCGGTACGAATCGATCCGGTGAATGATGTATGATATAACGTATAGTCAAAGTTAGACCACCTGATATCCACTGTGTTATACAAGTATTCGACAACACCAAACGCCTCTATCAACACTGTCAGGTTATTTAAGAGGTTGGACCTCCAAATTTATCGTCCGTCTCCGATATGACCGAGCCAGACGGATTGAGAGCCTCCACAAAATGACCCAAGTTCAAGAACGCCAAATCTACAATTCCAATCAGGGCCATCCACTCCGTAGTCCAGCATGATACCAACTTAGCTACCGGAGCGCCCTACCAATGTGTGTTTAGAATACCATTACACTCATACTAAAATGAAAAACAAACCTTCCCCTCTTTCCGGCTAGAGACCCACTCTTCTGTTTTACAGTACAGACTCGCGCTCTCCATCGATGTCTTTACAGCAGTAAGATCTTTTTCCTCTTCTCACTGAGCAGCAAAACTTTCTTCCTCATCCGAAAAATAAGCGAGAACCGCTGAGCATGCCAAACAAATTAAATGTGTGACGAACTCTTACTATGCTGACCTACCGACGTGCCCACCAGGTCCCCAATCATAAACACGGAAATGAAGTACAATTACCCTGGTCTGTTCGCCACACTATATTATTGTAAAAGGCTCCTGATTACCCTGCCCAAAACACATAACTTCATGAGGCTACTGAAAGCGTAGGTTTGATTATCTTGTACTACCGCTTTTAAAAACACCAGAAACGTGTTCGCAATTCTAACGAAGTTGCCACTTTGCCTTCCTTTTTTTTTTGGGGGGGGGGTGCATTTACTTCTCGTACAATACACCAGACGGACGTCATTCATCTTCCTACCCTCCGTTCAAAGAGAAAGGAAGTCCATTCTAAAGAAGGCGCACTCACCCCCCCCCCCTTCCACCCACACCCCAAACCCCTATATTTCCCCTCAAAGTTACATAACACCCACGCCTGTAATACGGATATGATTCCCCCTAAAGACAAGACTTAGTAGTATTAGTTTTTTATGTCCCCAGATCGGTCACCCGTCCTAATGAAAAAATCCAAAAGTGTTATGATTAATGGGCCTATTGATTATCGTTTATCGCGCTCTAACTCTTGGCGAGAGGATGACGGGTTCTCACTGTAATCTATTTTTACTTGACTTGAGCGACGCCTTTCTTCCAAAATTGACACAAAAAATTCACGGAAGCCCCATCTTCAATCTGGGTAGTACTTCCGATGTTATGAGATTAAAGCTTCAGAGTAAAAACCGCCGAGATGACTCTGCTTCTCGTCTTTTCAGATCGAGGATATCCGCCTCTGTGTACTTGGGATGAAGAGGAAAATACGCCCCGGTGTGAAAGAAAGAAGGGTAGTCGTTGGTGGGTACTTGGAAAAGAGGAGGGCATTCTTCCCTCCGATAACGGAAGATAATGTATTATTCTTCCCTGCGAGTTCAGGAGAGAGGAAGACATTCTTTCGTACGAGCTCAGAAGAGAGGAAGATGTTCTTCCCTGCAAGCTCAGAAGACAGGAAGATATTTGTCCCTGCGAGCTTGAAAAGGAGGATGATATTATTCTGTGTGAGCTCGGAAGAGAGGAAGATATTCGCCCCAAGAAACTTTATTTTTCTCCTATTCATTCATGCTCCTCACTTTTATTTCCCTGTGTATAGGTTTCCTTTCTCTATTGTTACACAATTCTAATTCACTGTTAGATTTTCAATTTTTCCTAACGTTGTCATGTGAATAATTCTATAAGAAAGATACTTTAAGTAATCACGTTGGTCACTTATATTATTATATATATAGAACTTAACGAGTTTCCGCTTCTACGATAAAATTTTGCAACTTGATTCAATCACATACAGTAGACTTAAAAAGTGTTTCCAACTTTTTCGCTTTAAAAAAAATGAAAGTGCCGACATCAAATTAAGCATTGCTAACCACGTGTAAAATGTATAAACTTTGGACCACACAACTTTTCGTCTAAAGGAAGCATCTAACAGTTTCGTTTCACTCCATTCTTTCGTTCTAAGCAATTCCATGTTGTATATGGTTGAGAATACAAACCAATGTCTCTGTGAGTGTCCAGTCTATCCAGTTTTCTTTGGGTTGTATTTCATTCGATTCCGTGCTTTAAGATAATGTTATTACTTTTAACTTCATACTCCCAGAAAATATTTTTAAGTGATGAAAAATGCTGAACTCGAACGGATAAAGAGAAATACAGTAATTAACCTTTTCTGTCCATTTGGAACAATTTTAAAAAATCCCTTATCAGGTTCTAGCTAACATAAATATGGACTGGTGACTGAATGCTTTAAAGGGGTCTATGATCAGAAAACTGTAATGAAGATTGAGTGAAACCTTTATTACCCCTTCCTATTGAATATGCATTAAGTCGATAAAAGCGTTTAGTTCAAAATTATTTCAGTACGGAGTGTATACGTGCATTTGGTAATTCTAGAGTAGAAGAAACGCCACGGACTCTCCAGATATCTAAGGTCAATATGTCGTGTTATAACAGAACAGTAAAGTTTGGGATGAGCGGTTATTTTTCCGGGGGGGGGGGGCAGGGGGGGAGGGGGGGGGCAAGAAGGCCATAATAATTATCATAGACATTTATGCGGGAGAGGAGGCTCGAGGGCCATAAGAGTATTCTGCATAAGTTTTTGGCGAATACAAATCAGTGTTGCTGTGAGTGCCCAAACTACTCAGTTTTATTTGGCTTGTATTTCATTAGATTTTGGGCTGTAAAATAATTCGCAAAGACACTTGCTTATCATAGGCATTGAAACTCGAGTTGGACAACTCGAAAGAACATCCTACACAATGTTCTTCACGATATGCGACGATGAACGAGTCCCCGGAAATTGTGTAGATCGAGAGATGTATAAATAGTAGACGAACGGAGTTCAAATCACAGAGCTCCAAGTTTTTTGCTCATGTTAATATTATTCTAATGGGAATTATTACAAGCTGACCCCCCACCCCCACCGTCCAGCTGCCAACCCGGAGTGTTCTTTAGAATGTCCTTTCTCGCACATCTCTCGCATCCCGACTTACACTAAAATCTATGATAAACAGAATATGTGTATATTGAATCGCTAGTAACACGTTTTACAAACACGCCCTATGTATACAAGACGACAGATTCATGACTACTAGATCATGTCTGTTTTGATTCGCTTAAATTTGGTGTTGTCGTCTACCATACGACGGGCTTCAAATCCCATCGCTTTCAGTTTTCTTTCAATTCTTTAACTTTAAGTCAATATTGCTTTTTGCCTCTTCTTTTAAGACTGCTAAATGGTTTTCATGAAGCTGGAATAGGTCAACTTTGCGCTCTCGTCCGCGTCAGATTTGACAGAGCATTTACTCCATTTTGAAATCAAAATCAAATTTTAACCTTCCCTGTACAACAAAAACTTGACGTCAGAGCTTTAAAAAAGTTTAAATAAGAGTTTTACTGCACTTGGATCACAATATTAGGTCACATAAGTGCCGAAGATTGGAAGTGTTACTTTAGATTTACTTACAAAAAGAAAGGAGAGAAAAGGACAACAGATGTTTCATAAGAAAGAAGGAGCAAACCCGGGTTTTGAGAAGAATAAAAAGTTTACGTATAGACCAACAAATGGGAAATAAAAGTATCAGTTTAATTTACAAATACTTACTCTTGTAGTAATCAGGTTCGGCGGAGATGACGTATGGCGTTGCCACCTCACTGACGTCACGAGCCGTCTCCCTGAGGCGCCGAATGCTGTCAAGGATGTAGCTGGGCACATGGGAAATCAGACCGGAGCGCTCGAGACGGCGTAGCAGAACCGTAAATGACGCTGAGGAGTTAAAAAGTTGGCATGAGTTCCTGGGGTGGAAATATGGAAAAGAGTAGAGTTCGAAGCGACTGCTTAGTGTAAAAAAGAACGTGCCATGCGATATTTGGAAAATTGACGTATGACAGAGTGTTACACTGAGCAGTCGGAAGGAAGTTGGTATGAAGTGAAAGAAAGTAAGCTTAAATCAATACAGAAGGGAGCAGTAAAATATTCCTTGAAAGATGTAAACGTTAAGGCGATAAACAAACACAACTGAGCATTTACCTCCCTAACCGTCGAAAGACTGTTATCGGAATCGAACTGAACTCACAAAAACCTGGCGTTGTGCCCTATCCCCTAAGCTGATGGCGCGCCAACGTAAACACTCTCGAACACGGAAAGAAAGAGTCTCGGCCAGAAAAAAGAATAACGGCGAAGCACAAACAACCGGAGGCTAAGAGAGAAAAGGACGGAACATAAAAGTTGATATTAAGAAGGTCCGACAGCCCGGGCCCAGCAAATAGCATTTCCACCAGATTAAACGTGTGGCTGGACTGGAAAGCGCGGCCCACTCTCACGACCTCGGGGCCGCCCCAGGCCCCCAAACACTTTACCCTGATAGGTTTGTAGGGAACACGAGGCAACTCAACCTCTTGAATATTTAAAAAAAATAAAGTTTTCATTGGATTGTCGCCCACTTCTTGGTCTGTGCATGTCCCTCGGCGCAAAAGGGCTTCAATATCCGGTTACTGGTGGCGGATGTCGTGTCGTTGGATTTCAGTGTTTTCGACTGTACATTATGACTGAATCAAAATCAATTCAGTCATGGCCCGTTTTTTCAGTGAAAAGGAAAAATAACTAATTTTAGCATTAATTGAGGTTGTGCTAATGTTACTATTTTGTTTAGTAAGGTTGTACATGTACTAATGTTGTCCCTGAAGGACTTGAATGTCCTTTGACATCTTATTAATTTTACAGAAAAATGATAACGTCATATTTCTAAATCTGTAAGTCAGGAGATGAATGTATTAGGCCCAGAGGGTACAAGTACAAGTGATTCTTTTATGGACAGGAAAGCAACTGTAGTTTTACGTAACGTTGTTTCTTCCTCGTTTAGGGCTATTGTTGGCTTTTGAGTTTTGGGTTCATTTAAACAAATAGTATTAGTAAACGTTTTACGGTACTTTCAACACAAGTAGACCACATAAGTTTTGAAGATTGGTTACCAGAAAGTAACATACAAAGAAAAGAAGGACAGAAAAAAACAATAAACATTTGATAGGAAAAAGAAGCTAAGCAAAATAAAGTACCCGCCAATCATGTAATAGGCATTTGACCTAACCAGACTGCTTCTTTTGTCTCGCAAAGGATACATTTCAGAAAAACTAAAAAGTCAATGACTAATGCTAAAAATATACATCATGTCCTATACGTGTTCATTTTTAAAGAGTTGTCAGCAATACAGTGACCTCAAGAGTTTAGAAAGAACAAATAAAAAAGAGATTTTAATAGACTGTATAATTGTATAGTAGGCTATTCTTAATTTCTCAGACGTAAAATGCCACTGGACTAGTTTCCTTCGCTGCAGCGTTTATGCTGCCATCGTTGTCATGTTGCCCTTGTACTTGTACTTAATCCAAACCAAAGAGTCTACATAACAAGAGGGGCCACTTCTCTCTTTGAGCCAATTAAAAAAGTGTCCTCAAAATTCGGTGGCGCCCTCTTCGCAAAAGCGCACCTTTTGCGAACAGAGTTATCCTACTTGAGTTTAAAAAAATCAAAGTGAAACTAGCAAATTTTTGGTTGAATTTCGGAAGAACGCTTTTTTAAAATGGTTACGCTGACAAAAAACCTCTTCCAGAGGAAAGGGTGATTGTTTTCTTCGTTTAATTTGACTTTAGAATGAAAGGCGAGAGATCATTAAAATATAAATAACCTAAAACTCCGCACTGAACGAACCCGAACTACTGATGAACAGCAGTCGATCTGCGCACGCAAGGAGGTGCTATTCCTATTCTTTTTCTGGAAAACGAAAGAGAGCTTCAAAACAGACTGCAGCGCCATCTGAAGCAAAGAGCATACTTCCTGCGGACACTTGTTTGGCTGAGTGGCCCATCTTGTTATTTACTATCTTTGTCCAAACATGTGTCAATTGGTATCGATTCTTCGAGAATCCTTTCAGATATCGATACCGTCTAGGGCATCTCCCGAAAGGATTTGGAGAAATCTCAGACACAGTCAGTTCCCTTAACATCACTTACGCCTACTCGGAAATCTAATTTGTGAATAATTCATGCCTCAATCCATCCCTCTAGCCAGCAGGCGTGAAATTCGGGATGTCAGTATTGTCAGCACCCGATTCTCATTGCCTCCTTGAACTTGGAGCTTCTCAGTCTGATTATTAACGGGGGATATGATCAATATAAAAGGAAAGTTGAGTATAAGTGTTTATCTCTCCCTGTCCTTCTGCTATCTATCAATCAATCAATCAATCAATCAATCTATCTATCTATCTATCTATCTATCTATCTATCTATCTATCTATCTATCTATCGATCTATCTATCTATCTATCTATCTGTCTGTCTGTCTGTCTGTCTGTCCATTTATTTATCTGCCAATCTATCTGTTTATCTATCTATTACATCTTGCTAATGAAATGGAACTTTCAGATCACGTTTACAAAGAATCAAATTTTCTATTAAGCGATGAAATGAGGCCCACTTCCACTACCCCGCCCACAAACATATTTGGCAGGCAAAGGCGTTTGCTATACCAAAAAAACATCAAATAGTATTGACTGGGTTTGAATTATAAAACGCACCTCTTCATCCAATCACACCGTGACATTTTCAAAAATGCCACACGTCACTGTAATAGAGCTTCCAACACCCCCGCGCTGTTCCTCAAACGACGGTTTCGCACGTCCCTGGCGGATAACATAGGGGAAATTTCAGCCTGTGATTGACGTCCTGCACGTGTTTTGGGACTTGTTGGTCCTATCTTATGTGCCCGGAAACAGAGAAACTTTAAGAGAGAACTTGTAAGTGATTTGACTTTGTTTTCTGAACTTGTACCCATGCAAATGTGTCAAGCTTTGTGACCTGTTAAACGATTTATAGAGAGGTGGGTGCTCTTAAAACGGGAGGAAACATGACTAAAAAAAGATTACATTCACTTTCAGTGAAGGATAAAATCTATTTTGTTGTTGTTCTTTGTTTGTTTTGTTCTGTTTCGTGTTGTTTTTTTTGTTAGTTAGTTAGTTTGTTTGTTAGGGTGGTTGTTTTGTTTTGTTTTGTTTTGTTTGTTTGTTTGTTTGTTGCTTTTGTTTGGTTATTTTCTTGAACTGAATGCCAGTCAAGAAAAAAGCAAGTAATCCTTTCGAAGAATGATAACTTTTTTCCCCTGTCAGAGACCCATTCAAGATTCCCAGTGCAGCCAAGTTCAGGAATACCTTGGAGGACTCTAACCAGAGTCATCTACACATCAGCCCAGCATTATCTCAGAGTCAACGGCACGTTCTTGAACTTTGCAACCAATGCATAAAAGCAAAACCAGTTATCAACTGTGTCACAACCTCCTGTCAACTGTATATTTGGTTTTTGGTAGGTACAGATGTCCTCGAGGAATGTTGGAACACTCCTCCAGAACATAAAGAAACAGAAAGTGAACTGCGGTACTTCGGGCACATCAAACAACACGAATCACTCGAGAAACATGTTGTGGAAGGAAAAGTAGAAGACAAGAGAGGAACGAGGAGACATAATAGAAGGTAAGAACAGGACCTAGAAACCAGACTTGGAACCAAAACAACTCGGGAAGCCAGAATGGAAAGAGACAGGGCGTTTTATTACCGAAAGGTCCAAGATGTAGAGTTTAACTACTGGAAAAACCCTAAACGGGGACAATTAAGGCTGAGGCTGTCATGTCAAGTTGTTTTAAGGAGCAGGATTTGAAATCGTGGCATGGATTCCATTCGACACTCAGCCACTTGGACGGAAGAGGAATGTATTTTAAAAAATAATTTACTTCATTTTCCTCAACTTCCCCTGTTGCAAGTGAACAGTCTACTTTGTAACTGATAGAGGCGGAATATAAGATACGATAAGATAAGATAAGATAAGATGAGACAGGACAAGATAAGATAATACCTTTTCTGACCCGTGGGAAACTTTTTGTTGCTGCACAGACCGTGTCGTGACATAATTTAGATTGTTACAGCTTGCCACATCGGAGCTTCGGTCATATTACAACACTGACATATATACTAACAGTTCACACAGAACAGCCAGAGAGTTGGTATAAAGACAATAAACAACTTAATACGGGCACTGTGTTAAATCGATGCCCGGTAATCATCCTGCTGTTGATGTGAGCGTCGCCCATTAAGTAAATTGCTCGACCATCTAGGCTCATTCACGGGATGATCACTGTAAGGTTATTGACCATGTCAGAGATTGAAACGTCCTAGCAGTGGGAAGAAGAGTGCACGCGGGGCAATGGGGGGTTAGCGTGTGGCAAGAGAGATTTATAACGAAATGCGAAATACTCCGTGAGAACAGCTGAGAATGTGGGAGTATAAGAGAGAGAGAGAGAGAGAGAGAGAGAGAGAGAGAGAGAGAGAGAGAGAGAAAGAGAGAAAGAGAGAGAGAGAGAGGGGGGAGAAAAGTGAGAGGGAGAAGGGGGAATGGTGAAATGCAAATAAACATTTAGAGAAAAAAGAAAACACAGGTGAGAAAAAGTGGTAAAGAGTGACAGAATGTGGAGACAGAGTTAAACCATTTTTATGCCTTTATCAAAACAACATTAATTTTTTTGTTGTTTGAAAATTTCAAAGAACAACGGGACCCCATAAGTGCGCTACAATCGAAATGCGAGAAATAACGCTTCTTTCTGCTTCTAATTGACTTCAACATCATTGCTCGAGTGCTCTTGTATAAGGGCGTGCCCGGTGTAAGTTGAAGATGAACCTTTTTTGTTCAAGGATCTGTTACTAAGAAACAGTCTAAAGCTCCCTAATGT